GCTCCTGAGTTGGCCACGCCCAGCAGGAACTCATTAGCATAACAGGCCACACCTAATAGCAGAAACTCGTTAGGATTGGCTTCATTAGGGTATGTGTGGCCTAACATGCAAAGAAGTTCCTGCTACAAAAAACCCCCAGGGTTTTGACAACAAACAAAGTAAACAGAATAAGAAGCAAAAGGTGGGTGTGGCTGGACACCAACACTTCTGGTAACATGGGGGCATGGCCTAATATGCTAACGAGTTTCTGCTGCTGGGTGTTGCCAATTATGCTAATGAGTTCCTGCTGGGCTTTTTCTACAAAAAAAGCCCTGGAAGCGGCCATCTACTGGATGAGACCCATGGTCCATCTGGATCAGTGTTGCCTACTCTACCTAGGGTTGCCATATCCTGGTTGGGAGATTCCTGGACATTTGGGGAAGTGGAAGTTGGGGAGGGAAGGGAGGGATATCAGCTGGGTGTAATGCCTTGGAGCCCACCCTCCAAAGTAGCCATATTCTCCAGGGGAACTGATCTCTGTAGTTTGGAGATGAGTTGTCATTCCAGGAGATCTCCAGTCCCCACCTGGAGGCTGGCAACTGTAATTCTGACTGGCAGCTCTCCATAAATTTGGGCAGAGAAAGCGAGAACAGGGGTCTGTGGACACCTTAAAGACGATCAGAAATATATTCCAGCATAAGCTTTCGTGCATCAGACACAAGGCAGAGAAAGTTCCTTCTTACTGGTTGCTACCAGAGAGGCCGAGCGCCGAAGAATAGATTCTTTTGAACTATGGTGCTGGAGAAGACTCTCGAGAGTCCCTTGGACTGCAAGGAGATCAAATCAGTCAATCCTAAAAGAAACCAACCCTGACTGTTCCCTGGAAGGCCAGATAATGAAACTGAAGCTCAAATACTTTGGCCACCCAATGAGAAGGGAGCACTCACTGGAGAAGACCCTGATGCTGGGAAAGATTGAAGGTCAAAGAAGACCGGGACGGCAAAGGATGAGATGGTTAGACAGTGTCACAGATGCAATGAACATGAAATTGAGCAAGCTTCAGAGGACGGCGGAAGACAGGAAGGCCTGGCGTGATCTGGTCCATGGGGTCACGAAGAGTCGGACTCCACTGTGCGACTGAACAACAACAACCAGAGATACTCTTGTTTTTGAAAAAAATGCTTTTATTGTTTGTACATAGTTATGTGGTCCATAAAGGTAATATTTAGGTGTAAACCCCCTCCACCAAAAAGAGTCAAGGGAAGAAGAAACATTGAAAGAAGCTATATGAATATGTAGTTCAGCTTATACAGTTAAAGCAGATAATGCATTTAGACACAATGGCTTGGATCCTGAGCACCGAAAGCAGAAATGTGCCAGAGGAAGGCAACTTCTCCATCAGTCCCGCTCACTAAAAGTCTTCTGTGCCCTTGAATGTGTGCTCCTATAAGTCTGTGGACCCCCAAAACAGTGGGGGTGTGTGTGGCAAAGCGCACATCTGCAGTGGGAAGAGAAAGTCAGCCGAAATTTCCCACCTGTCCGCTGCCACCGGGAAGCCATTATGTACTAGATCTGCTGTTAAGAGCCCGTGGGACATAGTGGTTAGAGCATCAGTCTAAGATCTCAGAGACCCAAGTTCAAATTCCCACTTTGCCATGGAAGTGGGCTGGGTGACCTCAGGCCAGTCTCTCTCTTTCACACACACTTAACAGGGCTATTATTGGGCAGGAACGCACAGGAACAGAGTTCCGGCTGGCTTCCAAGTTGGCCACGCCCAGCAGGAACGCATTAGCATAATAGGCCACACCCAACAGCAGAAACCCATTAGGATTGGCTACATTAGGGGTGTGGGGCCTAACATGCAAAGGAGTTCCTGCTACAAAAAAGCCCTGGGTTTGACCACAAACAAGGTAAACAGAATAAGAAGCAAAAGGTGGGTGTGGCTGGATGACCACACTTCTGGTAACATGGGGGTGTGGCCTAATATGCCAATGAGCTGTGCTGTCAGGGGTGTGGCCCACTATGCTAATGAATTTCTGCTGTTGGGTGTGGCCTATTATGCTAATGAGTTCCTGCTGGGCTTTTTCTACAAGAAAAGCCCTGCACACACACATAGCCTAGCCTGCTTTTCAGGGTTGTTGTGAGGATAAGAATGGAGGGAGGGAGAATGATGTTGTAAGTCGCCTTGGGTTGGAGTTGCCAGGTAGCTCTGGGCAGCTGGTGGGGGATGGAGGGAGTGGGCTTACCGGGATCTGGGAGTTTCATCAAACGTTCCAGCAACAGGCCCACATGACTTCCAATGTGACCTGGAAGTAGGGATACCACTCCCCAGGTGGAGGGCGGGGGATTCCCTGCTTTTGCGGGCTCCTTTTGTGGGAAATCCCCACCCCCACGCCGACACTGTTGGTCTAAATCATTCTTTGCTTTATTGTATGATTGCCCATGCAAATGTTGTATGAATAGCAGGTACCCTCTGAAACACTTGTGTTCTTCATTAGGGAAGATCCAGGGCAAAACCCAGAAGTGTCATCAGCGCAACGGTAATGTTGAGGGGGGATGCTCTGTTTTTGGGGCAAAACTCTATGGTTTGAAGCTGTTTTTACCATAGAGTCTTGCCCAAAAAGCAGAGTGTCGCTGTAAAGTACTGGGTTCGCCGCATGAAGACTTGAACTACGACATGCGTTCACACACTTCACACACAAGACAAGAAAAACCAGCCCTGCAAGGGCCAACTATATACACTCCACCCGGCACACCCCCGTTCCCATTGGAGGGTTTGAATTTCCCGCCAGAGGGTCTATTGGTGGACACAAGGTGGACTAGGATCCTAGGTTCCCCTTGTGTTCGGGACTCAAGCTCCTACTTTAGCTGCGGACCCCTGGTGGTGGTCCGTGTACATCACAGTTGCCCCCCCCCGATGTTGCCGACGCACCAATGCCACTTTCATCATGACTGAAAGTAGGTCTTTTAACGTTTCAGGCAAGATGCCTTTTAAAATTAATATATTGTTCCACTGTGTGTGTGTGTGTGTGTGTAATGTCTAGTTGCTTCTGACTTATGGTGACCCTACGAATGAATGTCCTCCAAAATATCCAATCGTTACAGCCTTTCTTAGGTCTTGCAAACTGAGGACTATGGCTTCCTTTGCAGAGTCCATCCATCTCTTGTCGGGTCTTCCTGGTTTATTGCTGTCTTTTCCAGTGACTTCATGCAAAATAAATATAGAGGAATTTCAGACAGGCAATATATTCCGGAAGAGGAACGGTTCCCAAACGGTTTCTGGTCTGTCATTTCAGACAGAACCATTTGAGAACTGGTTCCCTTCCGGGATATATTTGTCATTTCATACACAATCGCTTCTGTCCCATTTAGGAAACGGGGCTGAAGCGTTTTACCTGTCAACCGCTTCCAAGTACTCCTCAGTTTCCTCTCCCGGTTCCGATGCGCTTTTTCCCGCCGTTTTTCGCCCGCGCGGGCGATCTCCGCCTTTTTTAAAAAAAGTTTGCTTTATAGCGTTATGGCGCTATAACGCTATAACGGAATAGCATTATATCAATCCCATTGGAATGTATGGAGTGTTTTGTTATACTGCTATAGCGCTATAGCGCTCTAAAGCAAACGTTCCAAAAAACCCATAAAAACCGGAGATCGCCTGCACGGGCGAGAAACAGCGGGGGGAAAGCGGGAAAAAGCGGTGCAGTCTGAAATGGCAAACCGCTTCAGATCCAGCTCTTTACCGGAAGGGGAAAGTCTTGTGTGAAATGGCAGCCCTATACCGGTTCACTTCAAAACGGATCATTACCGGCTTGAAACCGGGTGAAACTGGGTAATGTGAAATTCCCCATACTTACTGAACTAGCTAAGAAACCCTCATCTGGTGACAATCTGGCTTAATTTTGCAGACTTCTAATATGCTTACACCAAAGGGGGAGGGAAATGATACTTTACATAAAGCTGCTGTCTGGGCTATACCATAGACATTTAAAAACACTTAATGGGTGCTACAAAAGGTGCAGGCAGGTGCCATGGGGCTCTCGGGCAGCATGTTGGGGAACCTTTATTTATTTATATTTATTTATTCATTGGACTTCTATCCCGCGCTTCCACATGGGCTCAGGACGGCTAACAAGAGGCAAATGCCATACATAACACTAAAACCAAATAAAACAATCAAATGACATTTTACATTTAAAATCGGTGCTCACAACAATATATCATCCGAGACGGGGACTCCAATGCAATGCTTCAGAAGGCACCACTGTCTCTTCTTGATCGTTCTGCACTCTGTCCGTTCTCCATTCTCAAGGCCAGTTCACGTCACCAAAATGGCAACGCGGTGGTGGTACAGTGACGGTGGCGGCTCCTACTCCAAAGCCTGGCGGAAGAGCTCCGTCTTGCAGGCCCTGCGGAACTGCATAAGGTCCCGCGGGGCCCTGATCTCCTCTGAGAGCTCGTTCCACCAGATAGGAGCAAGGCTAGTAGACAAGGGTAGCTGGGCTTACTCAGTGGTGGCACCCCATTTTTGAATTAATTAGAATGTAAATTAGAAACACTGGGGCTGCGGTGGCTCAGAGGTTAAGACACTGAGCAGCAGACCAGGAGGTCAGTAGCTCAGCAGTTCGAGACCCGAGTGCCGCCTGACGGAGTGAGCTCCCGTCTCTGGCCCCAGCTCCTGCCAACCGAGCAGTTCGAAAGCAAGAAACTGCAAGTAGATAAATAGGTACCGCTTCGGTGGGAAGGTAACAGCGTTCCGTGTGCCTCGGTGTTTAGTCATGCCGGCCACATGACCACGGAGAAGTCTTTGGACAGCGCTGGCTCTTCGGCTTTGAAACGGAGATGAGCAGCACCCCCCAGAGTCCGATTCGACTGGCTTTTGAGCAAGGGAAAGCTTTACCTTTTTAAATTAGAAACACCAGATAGGGGGCTGATGGATCAGACCTGGCTCGTGGATAACCCACTTCCTTTGTCTTCTCAACTGTGATAAATTGTACTGTGTCTTCTCCTGCTGTCTCTACAGAGCATGCTAACGGGCCTCATGTATTACCGTCCTGAAGATCCCGTCAGTTATCTGGAATGTTGCTTACAGAAAGTCCGGGAGCTGGGAGGTCCTGAGATGGTACAGTGGGACACCTTCATTGCTCAGGATCCACAGGCTGCACATCCCGTGAACAGCGAGCACCGAAAACCAATCTTCCACAAAGGTGGATATAAATAGTTCCACTTTGTTATTGCAGTAGTTTGTTTCTGCTTTGGTCTAAACCATTCTTTGCTTAATTGTAGGATTGCCCATGTTGTGAATAGCAGGCACCCTCTGAAACACTTGTGTTCTTCATTAGGGAAGATCCAGGGCAAAACTTTAGAGAACTGAAAAGTAAAAATTTTCCTGTGAAAAGCCAGTTTGGTGTAGTGGTTAAGTGTGCGGACTCTAATCTGGGAGAACTGGGTTTGATTCCCCACTCCTCCACTTGCACCTGCTGATGTGACCTTGGGTCAGTCACAAGCTCTGACACAGCTGTCCTTGAAAAAGAGCAGTTTCTGCCAGAGCTCTCTCAGCCCCACCCACCTCACAGGGTGTCTGTTGTGGGGAGGGGAAGGGAAAGGAGTTTGTAAGCCGCTCTGAGACTCCAAGTGAAGGGCGGGGTATAAATCCAATCTCTTCTTCTTCTTCTTCTTCTTCTAAAATGTTCACCTTATTCCAGGTTAGCTTGGGGGGGTCTGTCTCCTCCTGTATTCTTTCCATTAAAACGTCAGCTGGCTGCTGCCTAAAAATACATTGTGTACCTTGCTGAATTGCAGTACTCAGGGCTATTTTTGGGCAGGAACGCACAGGAACGGAGTTCCGGCTGGCTCCTAAATTGGCCATGCCCAGCAGGAACTCATTAGCATAATAGGCCACACCCAATAGCCGAAACTCATTCGGATTGGCTACATTAGGGGTGTGCGGCCTAACATGCAAAGGAGTTCCTGCTACAAAGAAAGGCCCTGGGTTTTGACAACAAACAAGGTAGACAGAATAAGAAGGGAAAGGTGGGTGTGGCTGGATGACCCCCCTTCTGGTACACTGGGGGTGTGGCCTAATGTGCCAATGAGTGGTGCTGTCAGGGTGTGGCCTAATATGCTAATGAGTTCCTGCTGTTGGGTGTGGCCTATGATGCTAATGAGTTCCTGCTGGGCTTTTTCTACAAAAAGAGCCCTGCCAGTACTGAAAAACTGTGATAAAGCATGCCGCTGAAAACCACAGCAAGACTAAACAGTCTTCACTGATGCTGCCCGCACCTGAGCTGTTAGACGTTTCGGCTTCATTGGACTGAGAGAGCACTGGAGTGTTAGAATCCTTGACAATATTTGCTTTACTTGCTAATACACAAGCAGATCAGAAGGGGAGGTAAATACAGTCCATCAACTGACAGCAGACGGCTGACTCTGCAAAGAGTAACCTGGACACGTTCCAATTCCTCTCTGCATTCTGCAAAATCATACTGCAAGCCGTTGGTTTCTCATGTGCGCATACACCCCAGCAAAGCGGGACTCCACCCCTGAAGACGAATTTGCCCATACGAGAAAATCATCCACAGGCACTGGGATCTATTAAATCCATTTGACTGTTCCTTCGGTGGCACTTTAAGCAATATCCAAATGAATTAGCGATTCAAAGTAATAAAGGCCTCCCAAATTCACTAGGCTGGTGCTAGGAGGAGGTTCCCCTATTATTTCAATTAAGTAAAAGATCTAGAGAGCCGTCCTAGGGAGGTCTGCTCTGAGGTAAATCCCATTTTATTCAAGGGGGCTCATTCCCAAGAAAGCATTCTTGGGACTGCAGGGGCACATCCCACTTTTCAGTCAAACGGCCCCCATTAATTTAAAATCTATATATCTAATAGCCAAGTTGCCCCCGCAGTGCGGATCGCTAAATCAGCGCTCCGGGGGCACTTGGGGGGGAGGGGGAGGTTTGTGCACACGTGGGCCAGTCCCCACGTGTGCACAAAAATGCTAAATGCTGGGGAACAAATCGGGGGGATGTTTAAATCCCCCCAAAAGTGCCAGAGCGTTCCGTACGCATGCGCACGGAACGCTCTGCGAACCCAGGCTGCCGCCGCCGCCGCTTCGAAGGGAAGCGGCGAGCGGTGAGCCGGGAGGGGCGGCTCGGGGGGGAAGGGGGGGAAGAAAACTGCCGCCGCGGCTAAGGAGCCGGGCAGACGCCCTGTGGAAGCAGCCTCGCTGCCGCCGCCGAGGGGGAGGGGGAAAGAACTGCCCCCCGCCGCCGCCGCTGCTAAGGAGCTGCCGCTAAGGAGGTGAGCAGGCGGGCGGCCGCCCTGTGCAGCCAGACTCGCCGCCGAGGGGGAGGGGGAAAGAACTGCCGCCGCTAAGGAGCCGGCCGGCCGAGCGCCAGCCCTGTGCAGTCAGGCTCGCCGCCACCGAGGGGGAGGAGGGAGAAAACTGCCGCCGCCGCCACTAAGAGCCCACCCTCCAAAGCACCCATTCCCTCCCCAAATCTTCCACAGAACCTCTCTTTGTAAGTATGCTGGAGAGCGCAGGGGGGCCGGCTGGACGGCGCTCTGGAGGAGCGGGGCTGGCTCCCTCTCCGGGCTGTGGGGCTCGGAGCGGGGGGGGGGGAGAAAAAGTGGAGACCCAACTAGAACACAGTACGCAACATTTTGTTGCGGGTCTCCACTTGTGATATATCGCAGGGCTCTTTTTGTAGAAAAAGCCCAGCAGGAACTCATTAGCATAATAGGCCACACCCAACAGCAGGAACTCATTAGCATATTGGGCCACACCCATGACCGCACAGCTCATTAGCACATTAGGCCGCACCCCCATGTTACCAGAAGTGTGGTCATCCAGCCACACCCACCTTTCCCTTCTTATTCTGTTTACCTTGTTTGTTGTCAAAACCCAGGCCTTTTTTTGTAGCAGGAACTCCTTTGCATGTTAGGCCACACACCCCTAATGTAGCCAATCCTAGTGAGTGTCTGCTGTTGGGTGTGGCCTATTATGCTAATGAGTTCCTGCTGGGCGTGGCCAGCTCGGGAGCCAGCTGGAACTCCGTTCCTGTGCGTTCCTGCCCAAAAATAGCCCTGTATAATAGTAAAAAAAAAATCAAACATATAAGTACAGAATTAAAATACTAAGATCATCACGTTTTGCTTAAGCCATCCATCGTAATCTTAACCAGGTGGGGCAGAGTGGATGCTGGCGGAATCAGCCGTGGAAAAAGGCCTAGCCCCCCAGCCCACCTCAACCCTGCCCTCCCCAAAGAATGAGGGTGCCTGTCTATTCGCCCCGGATAGGAGGTGCCTAGCCAGGCTGGTCAGCCAGGAGGGGCCTACCCTGTCCCACGTTGTGTGGAGGCCGGATCAGGTGAGAGTGGGCCAGGAGGGTATGCCCAGGGGTCGTTTCGTAGAAAAAGAGCTAGGGGAACTCATTAGCATAACTCATTAGCATATGCCACATCCCCTGACATCACCGGAAATGTGTCATAAGGCCACACACCCCGCCCCCAACGGTTTTGGCCGCCGCCGGCCGCCTTGCAGCTCCACTGCCGAACCCCATGAGGGGCCCGGCGGTGGACCTGCAAGGCTGGCGGGAGTGCGAGGAAGCCCCGCGAAGGCCTTCCCTGGCCCCAGGCAGGCAGGGGTGGGGAGAGGCAGGGAGGAAGCAACTTAACCTCCCTCTTCTCCTGCCTATTCCTGGCTGAATGAGGGCCGGAAGTGGGGTGGCCGGAAGCAGGGGGCGGGGCTTCGTCAAGTGCCCCGCCCCCGATACCTCACCCGGGGGAACTGCGATCCCCCGCGACCCCCCCGAAATGACCCCTTGCCGCAGTGAGTCCTCCTTCCCCACACTTCTGGGCCCCACACAACCTTCTGTTTGGACTGGGGTGGCCCCAGTGTGTGGGGGGGGTGGCCCCAGTGGGAGAGCAGCCCCCCCCAGGCCATCGGCCCACCAGGATACTTCTTGGTGGCCTTCATGATCAATCGACCCCACTAAACAGGGATGGTCTCTATTTTCCGGTAGTCCCCATGCCCAGGGGTCATTTCGTAGAAAAAGAGGTGCAGGAGCTCATTAGCGTAACGCATTTGCATAACTCATTTGCATATGCCACACCCCCTGACATCACCGGAAGTGTGTCAGACGGCAACACCCACCGCTCAGGCTCCACTGGAATGTTTTGGATTGCTAGCTATTGGGGGGACGGGACGTGCAGATCTGCCCTCGCAGAGGAGGGAGAGCTTGTATCTGAATAAAACTTGGTCTTAAAGGTGCCACTGGACTGTCTTGGACCGGTGGGCTGGAGGGAGCTCTGCAACTTACCTCCTGCTTCTTGCTCTGACTGAGGGCTGCTGAGAGCAGGGGGTGGGGCTTGTTGCATGTGCCCGCCCCCTGGGTTCTTTACTGCCGGAGCTCCGCTCCTGTGTGCTCCTGCAGGAAATGACCCCTGCCCATGCCTAGAAAATCAAGGTCGATTTGTCCCTGCTTTTACTCTTGTGGTGCCTTGTGAAAAGATGCGACTTCTTAGCTTTGCAGAAATATGCCGGAGATGCAGCGATGTCATATCGAAGCGACCACTAGAAGGAGCCAAACGTGTCCAGGAAAGGAAACACACCCCCCCCCCCCCGAAGCCATAGGGGCACACAGGTGGTGCAAATGAAAGCGCGGAAGAACTGATGATCTCTGTAATGTAAATGGGAACCAGTATTGCCGGAACAGGAAACGTTTTCAGTTGGCATCTGAAAGACATGACAGGTGTAACGTCCAGTCAGCTTAAATGAAACTAACGCAAGCACCACTGCTGAACAATGCTCCCTCTAAGCTGTGGAATTTTGTGAGCAGAAATCCTGCTTTGTGAGCTACTGGCATTAAAGATGTGAGCGAGGGATTTGGCTGCTGCATAAATCAGTTTGCTCTGGAGCCGTCCTTCCTGAGCTAAGACAAAAAATGTGTGAGCTGGAGGTTAAAAAGCTGTGAGCTGGAGGTTAAAAAGCTGTGAGCTAGCTCACACTAAGCTTAGAGGGAACACTGCTCCGGAATCCTGTGTATAAGACCTAAAAGGTCCCCATCCTTATGTCCCTGGCATCTCCTCTGTCCCTGGCATCCCTTCTGTAGGATCAGTGGCCATTGACGCTTGGATCTGATTTTCCTTGTAGGCTCAGGCACAGCAGCATACCACCAATATGAACATCTGCCACCAATCGAGAGCCAGTTTTCCATCGAGAGCGACTCGGACATGACGGAATCCACCGGGCTGATCCAGGAATATGACATATTTGACCCAGCCCGACCTCGTCCTAAGATCATCTTTGTGATAGGTGAGAAGGAAAGCATGGGTGTCTAGGGGGAGATGAGGGTATTTTGAGACAGAGCCCGCGGTTTCACATGCTGGGGAGCAAGGTAGCAGAGAACAGGAGCGACAGAAAAGACTGCAGTCCTTCAGACTGCTGTGGGAGGATCACTCAGTATCATAAGAACATAAGAAGAGCCCTGCTGGATCAGACCAGGGGTCCATCTAGTCCAGCATCCTGTCTCCTACAATGGCCAACCAGTTCCTCTGGATGGCCAGCAACAGGGCAGAGAGGCCAACGCCTTCTCCGGATGTTGCCTCCTGGCTCTGGGATTCAGAGGCTCAGTGCCTCTGTCTATGGAGGATAAGAACATCAGAAGAGCCCTGCTGGATCAGACCAGGGGTCCATCTAGTCCAGCATCCTGTCTCCTACAATGGCCAACCAGTTCCTCTGGATGGCCAGCAACAGGGCAGAGAGGCCAACGCCTTCTCCGGATGTTGCCTCCTGGCTCTGGGATTCAGAGGCTCAGTGCCTCTGTCTATGGAGGATAAGAACATCAGAAGAGCCCTGCTGGATCAGACCAGGGGTCCATCTAGTCCAGCATCCTGTCTCCTACAATGGCCAACCAGTTCCTCTGGATGGCCAGCAACAGGGCAGAGAGGCCAACGCCTTCTCCGGATGTTGCCTCCTGGCTCTGGGATTCAGAGGCTCAGTGCCTCTGTCTATGGAGGATAAGAACATCAGAAGAGCCCTGCTGGATCAGACCAGGGGTCCATCTAGTCCAGCATCCTGTCTCCTACAATGGCCAACCAGTTCCTCTGGATGGCCAGCAACAGGGCAGAGAGGCCAACGCCTTCTCCGGATGTTGCCTCCTGGCTCTGGGATTCAGAGGCTCAGTGCCTCTGTCTATGGAGGATAAGAACATCAGAAGAGCCCTGCTGGATCAGACCAGGGGTCCATCTAGTCCAGCATCCTGTCTCCTACAATGGCCAACCAGTTCCTCTGGATGGCCAGCAACAGGGCAGAGAGGCCAACGCCTTCTCCGGATGTTGCCTCCTGGCTCTGGGATTCAGAGGCTCAGTGCCTCTGTCTATGGAGGATAAGAACATCAGAAGAGCCCTGCTGGATCAGACCAGGGGTCCATCTAGTCCAGCATCCTGTCTCCTACAATGGCCAACCAGTTCCTCTGGATGGCCAGCAACAGGGCAGAGAGGCCAACGCCTTCTCCGGATGTTGCCTCCTGGCTCTGGGATTCAGAGGCTCAGTGCCTCTGTCTATGGAGGATAAGAACATCAGAAGAGCCCTGCTGGATCAGACCAGGGGTCCATCTAGTCCAGCATCCTGTCTCCTACAATGGCCAACCAGTTCCTCTGGATGGCCAGCAACAGGGCAGAGAGGCCAACGCCTTCTCCGGATGTTGCCTCCTGGCTCTGGGATTCAGAGGCTCAGTGCCTCTGTCTATGGAGGATAAGAACATCAGAAGAGCCCTGCTGGATCAGACCAGGGGTCCATCTAGTCCAGCATCCTGTCTCACACAGGGGCCCACCAGTTCCTCTGGAGGGCCAGCAACAGGGCACAGAGTCTGAGGCCTTCCCCTGAAGGTGTCTCCTGGCTCTGGGATTCAGGGGCTTAGTGCCCCTGAATGTGGAAGATAAGAACATAAGAAGAGGCCCTGCTGGATCAGGCCAGTGGTCCACCCAGTCCAGCATCCTGTCTGATGCAGTGGCCAGCCAGTTCCTTTGGAGGGCCAACCACGGGGCACAGAGGCTGAGGCCTTCCCCAGATGAGCCTGCCTCAGCGGGGAGGGCGGGGTATAAATCCAATAAGTAAACAAACAAACAAATAAATAAACGTTGCCTCCTGGCTCTGGGATTCAGAGGTTATCCTCCATGATTCTATCTAATCCCCTTTGAAAGCTGTTTATTTCTGTGGCCATCACCACATCCTCTGGCGGCGAATTCCACAGTTTAAGCACTCTCTGTGTAAAGCAGTAGTTTGAAACACTCCTGTTTCAAAAAATTCCCCGCAAAGAAGCAATCAAACACAGCAAGGAGAGAAAAAAGGTAGACCCGTTCTCCCTTTCTGTTTGCAAGGGTCCTTTCATTCAAAGGAACAGTCAAAGGTGGGATTTACCACCTGCAGTATAGTGCTGCAATCCCTTCTGCTACTTCATTTTCCTGCATGTAGTTATCTCTTGCTTGGCTTTTTGACAGGGTGTGTCAGTGTGAGAGGATGGTAAGGTGTATAGAAAAATTGATTTCTATAGGCTTCATGTCTTCCCTGGAATGTATCTTGCCGATCCCCTGCTGTGTTGATTTCCTATTGAAGCCAGATGGCTGACCATTTGGTCAGAGAAGCTCCATTGCCTGTCATGTAACCACACATTCTTCACACCTCTAAGTGGAAGTCCTAGACTTCAAGGAGCCTGCTCTAAGGTTACAGAGCTCATGTCACGTAGGCCATGGGTGGGTTGGACTTTGGGGATCATTCGACTGCAGAGGGTGTTCCCCAGACTATCCCCCACCCATTGCCATGACAAACCAAAAGTTGGACACCCCCTGTCTACCCGTGATTGGCTGACTGGCCACAGCTGATTATGATTAGATTGGGGTTCTTAATTGTCTGACCCTTGGAGGAGAGCTCAGATCTTCTTGCTCTCTTTATTTGTTTGAATTGCATCTGCTGTCCCGAGGGGGACAAAGAACTCCTTGGTGCAGCTGAAGCACATGGCTGCATGCTTACAAAGATGGACTTCTTGCTCCAAACCTCTTGGGGCTACTGGATTATTACAAATGGACTATTCTGGACTGATAACTGTTCCTGACTTGGTAAATATGCATCTCTAATGTGTAGTTAAGGCAAAACATTGCCTAGCCTTTGTTATTTTGTAATCCTGATTAGTCTGTGCTAACCCTGTACTGAATAAACTTTATTCTTGTTTATAAATAGTGTCTGGATTGTAGTAACTGGACTCCAAGCCTTTTTCCTGTGTCTAGCTGGTCACATGCTACCTGTGTAAGATTAACTGCACACTCTAGATTGAGTGGCTAATGTGTAAAACCCACATGCCAACTGAGATTCTGGGGATCTCTAATCTCAGGTTGGTGAGGGATTAAGTTTAGAGATTCCTGGTGGCTATTGTGGTCAAATCCAGAGAGCCTACCTCTTCTGGGTTATTGTGTAATATATTGTGCCAGTGTAGAATTCTTTCCCCCATCCCTGGCCTGGCCTGGGGGGCAGAACCTATACAGAAGGACAGAGAGGGAGCATGTGATGTGTACACATATGCAGGAGAATGATGTTGTGTGGAAGAATCAGGTGTACTAAGTGGGGAAATCGTATTTTGGAATAATCCCCTAAATTAAAAAAAACACCTTGCAAGCAGAAAACTAGCATGTAGGCAGCTGAATAGACCAGAATATTTCCCCTCCCACCGATGTATTAGGGTTTTTTTTATTTGCAGGGGCATTTGTTAATATGGGAAGCATTCAGAACTGTTATCTACCACTTAAACACTAAAGTGGTACTCCCGTAGCATGTGCTGAAGGCTGCAGAGATCTACACAGCACACCAGTCTGGTTGTGTGACTAATTCAGCAAGGTTTTGGAGAGGGAGAGGCAGAACTCTTGCAACATTTATTTATTTATTTATTTACTTACTTACTTATTGGATTTATACCCCGCCCTCCCCGCTGAAGCAGGATATGGGCACGCTCTTTTCAAAGAATGGTAACTGCATCTCCCGCACTTTTGTAATTAGTAGAGACCTAGAAAGATTTTGAATTTGCATTCCTCAATCAAGAGCCAGTTTGGTGTAGTGGTTAAGAGCGCGGACTCTAATCTGGGAGAACCGGGTTTGATTCTCCAGTCCTCCACATGCAGCTGCTGGAGTGACTTTGGGTCAGTCACAAGTTCTCTCGGAGCTGTTCTCTCAGGAGCAGTTCTCTCAGAGAGCTCTCTCAGCCCCACCTACCTCCCAGGGTGTCTGTTGTGGGGAGGGGAAGGGAAAGGAGATTGTAAGCCGCTCTTGAGTGATGGGCAGAGTATAAATCCAATCTCTTCTTCCTTTTCTTTTTCTTGCCTGGCAGGGGGCCCTGGCAGCGGAAAGGGGACTCAGAGCAACCGGATTGCTTCCTACTTTGGGTTCAGCTGCATCTCTGTAGGCGAGATTCTGCGTAACCAAATGATCCATCACGCCACGAGCGACAGGAAATGGGAGCTGATAGCCAAAATAATTGCCAATGGGGAGCTGGCCCCACCGGTAAGCAGGGCAAGCCCTCCAAATGACAGCAGTCGGGGCGAAATGTGGGATTCCGTTTTTGGGGAGGGGATGTGTCACATCTCACTTTTAGAAGATGGGGGGGGGATCTGTCTGTGCACCTACGGCTCCATCCCATGCTGAATTCCTCCCGCACCACAGCAGGGGGCTGCAAAATGAGCCGTTGAAAAATGTACCCTCCTCTGTTCTTTACCTCTAGCCTAGAAGCTAACTGTACATGAAGCTGCCGTATCGGTCTTCAGATCTTCTTAGGGCTGTTTGTTTTTTAAAGGGCAGACAGTGACCATGCAGAGCCCTGCTTTGGTCTCTAGAGAGGCACTCATGGTCCACTGCTGCACCAAAATGAAACTGGAGTCCAGTGGGCATCTTAAAGACTCTTATATCTCCAGGTAAAAGGATCAGGTAGGAGGTGATGTGCAAGACCTCTGCCCGAGACCCTGGACAACCGTTGCCAATCCGAGTAAACGATACTGACTTTGATGGGCCAAGGGTCTGGCTCAGTAGGAGGCATCTTCACATGTGTTCGTTCCCACCCAAGCTGTCATGAGTCACTGCTCACTTCATCAGATGCATGGAATGTGCATTCGTAAGAAATATATATTTATATTTCACGTGTCCAGTGAAATGAGCTCTGGCTCACACAGGCTTACGCTGGAATCAATTTTGTTAGTCTTCAAGGTACCGCCAGACTTCTGTTTAATTTTGATTTTGGGCTGTGGCTCCGCAGAAATGAGAAGAAGGGGAGTAACTCTTCTACCACCACCCTTACACATTTGCGGATTGGAATTCAGACCTCTCCTCTACCCTGTTCTGTTGTTTTCTCCCGGATGAGGAAAGAAAGCAGACAGAAAGGAAGTCTTCTTTTTCCCCTTTGAAGGTTACTAACAAGCCTGGGAAAGAAGGGGTCAGTTTACACCTCCTATCGGGTGGTAAGTGATTAATGAGTGCGGTCACATGTGCCAGATAACGTGGGGGGGGGAGCGAGGCTATTTGTGCCCAGGGCCGGCTCGAGGTGTTTCTGCGCCCTAGGCAAGGCTGCCTTGTGGCACAGATGCCAACATCCAGGTGGGGCCTGGAGACCTGGAGACCTCTGGAGCCAGCCACCCTTTTGCTGCCGCCACCACCGCCTCTCCCCCCGCCACCACCAAAGGGGGGAGGAGGGGGGAGGCACAGCTTGGCGCCCCATCCAGGGCCCGGCACTCTAGGCGAATGCCTAGTTCGCCTAGTGGGTGAGCCGGCCCTGTTTGTGCCGTAGTAATTTGACCCGCCATTGAGCGATCAGACACAGTGGCAGGTTAATCGGATTTTTTCCTCCGTGGGGTGTTTCCGGCGCACTGCCACAAAGGACCACTGACGCACGGGAGCGCGCCAAAGCAATCACACGGGGAAGTCCGTCTGCGGCCCGTCGCAAACCGGTTTGATAGTGCACTTTCCCCAGTATTTTTTAACTCCGCTTCTCCGGCGGTGCGAAACGGGTCGGCGGCGCTTGCCAGATGTTCCGATGTGATCGCGCCCGTAAAATGCGCCCGGCATTCGTGCGTAGCGTGGGGCTACTTCTGCGTGCGGTTGGGAACAATAACAACTCTTCCCCTGCTCAAGATTGATACATCATAGAGCTTTTATTGGAGGAAAGGAAAAGAAAGGAGGGATCAGTTTTAATTCTCAGGAGGACGATTCAGTGCCCTCTCCTTTGCACCTGCAATTTAGTTTAAGCAATGCCAATAAGTTCCACTCACACAGATCTTCTAGTGTCTCGTCGAAGTGTGCCCTGGGAGTGCCCTGTTTGGTCTTGGTCTGTGTCCACACAAAGGTGGCGATTGTTCTATAGCGATTCCCTGCCACCGGATTTTCCACCACGGACAAACCAACCCAGTCGCGATGACTGCACAAAACCCAGCTCTGTGTGGATGCCGCCCTGGTCTCGAGACGGTCTTATCTCAAGATGGCCCATGGGGCAATGGGTCCACGGTCCCCCTTTCACGGAGCTTGTGTGCCTTGCAGGAAACGACAATTGAGGAGCTGAAGCAACAGTTTATAAAGCGGCAGGATGCCAAGGGCTTTGTGGTGGACGGCTTTCCCCGGGAGATCGGCCAGGCCTTCACATTTGAGGAGCAGGTGAGACACCGGAGAACGCTCAAAGGCATCGGTTGCAAAAGGGTTCTTTTTGTAGCAGGAACTCCTTTGCATATTAGGCGACACGTCCCTAACGTAGCGAATCCTCCAAGAGATTACAGTTGCCCCTGTAAGAAGAGCTCTGCAAGCTCCTGGAGGATTGGCTACATTAGGGGTGTGTCGCCTAATATGCAAAGGAGTTCCTGCTACAGAAAGAGCCCAAGCCAAAACAATAGTCCAAAACCAGAGGTTGGCATTCAGGATCTCAATATGAAGCCTCAGCACACTCTTATATAGTGACTTGGCGCAAACAGCACGTTTGTCATCCACGAGGAACAAATTGGCTTATGCCACAATACATAATACAGTACAATTATACAGCACGGATACAAAATGGACCAGAAAGGAATTGCTGTAAAAAAAATGTGAAATTAAATCCATATAATAAAATGGATAAATAATGCTTATATTATACTTAAAAAAAACCATATTGACTTACTTATTACATATTATTTATACATCACGTTTTAAGGGTTGGCTCTCTACTCAGTTTGACTTACCTTTTCAGGTTCTTGATTCCAGGGGTCATTTCGTAGAAAAAGAGCTAGGGGAACTCATTAGCATAACTCATTAGCATATGCCACACCCCCTGACATCAGGGGCCCGGCGGTGGACCTGCAAGGCCAGCGGGAGTGCGAGGAAGCCCCGCCAAGGCCCTCCCTGGCCCCAGGCAGGCAGGGGTGGGGAGAGGTGGGGAGGAAGCAACTTACCCTCCCTCTTCTCCTGCCTCCTCCTGGCTGAATGAGGGCCGGAAGTGGGGCAGCTGGAAGCAGGGGGTGGGGCTTCGTCATGTGCCCCGCCCCCCTGCACCTCACCCGGGGGAACTGCGATCCCCCGCGACTCCCCCCCCGAAATGACCTCTGCTTGATTCTAGTTTGCAGGGTTACATTTGTTTCCCTTTTCTGTTCATCGTTTGTGTCATCGTAGTGGTTAAGTGCGCGGACTCTAATCTGGGAGGACCGGGTTTGATTCCCTACTCCTCCACTTGCACCTGCTGATGTGACCTTGGGTCAGTCACAAGCTCTGGCACAGCTGTCCTTGAAAAAGAGCAGTTTGTGTCAGAGCTCTCTCAGCCCCACCCACCTGTTGTGGGGAGGGGAAGGGAAAGGAGTTTGTAAGCCACTCTGAGACTCCACGTGAAGGGCGGGGTATAAATCCAATCTCCTCCTCCTCCTCCTCCTTCTTGGGATTGATCCTGGGACCTTCTGGACACAAAGCAGGCACTGCACCACGTGCACTGTGTCCCTTTGATATTGGCTCTGGTCGAACATGGCAGACGTCAAAGGAAAGGGAATGGCTGCTGGCTGCCCTCTCTGTTCTGCAATCACCCCCCCCCCCCAATAGCCTTCTCCCTGCCCCTCTCTGGCACCATAATAGGCAACATATAAGTATGGGTATGTGGGGCACATTACAGGAGAAAGAGCAGAGAGGACAGAAGGAATAAAGGAGAGGGAAAAGGAACAAGCGCAACCCCGAATGTGGCAGTTGTAGGAGAAGGAAGAGGGCCAGTTTGGTGTAGTGGTTAAGTGCGCGGACTCTAATCTGGGAGAACCGGGTTTGATTCCCCACTCCTCCACTGGCAGCTGCTGGATGACCTTGGACAAGCCGTAGTTCTGATAAGAGCTGTCCTTGAAAAAGAGCTGTTTCTGTCAGAGCTCTCTCAGCCCCACCTACCTCACAGGGTGTCTGTTGTGGGGGGGGGAAGGGGAAGGGAAAGGAGTTTGTAAGCTGCTCTGAGACTCCTTTGGATAGTGAAGGGTGTGGTATAAATCCAATCTCTTCTTCTTCTTCTTCTTCTTCTTCTTCTTCTTCTTCTTCTTCTTCTTCTTCATCATCATCATCATCATCCCCCTGTTAAAACCCGTTCCTTGTCTCCTTCTCTGGCAGATCGGCTCTCCAGACCTTGTAGTGTTCCTGGCTTGTTCCAGCCAAGAGCTCCGTCAGCGTCTAGAAAAGCGGGCGCAGGAGCAAGGCCGTTTGGATGATAACACCCACGCTATCCAGCGCAGGCTGGAGACCTTCAGGCACAATGTCCCGTTGATCGTGAAATATTACCAAGAAAAGGGGACCGTCATCCGGGTGAGACTGCTTGAGGAAGGTCGTGTGCTGGGTCGAGGGGGATGCCATTGTTGGGAATGGGTGGTGGTGGGGAATCCAAAACGGCAATTCAGGCAAAGATTCTAAGGTGGGATCTTGTGAGTTTCCTGCTTCTTAGCTTCCTGGATGTCAGCGTGATCGACCTCTTGGAGAAAGTGGTGTAGCGTTTGTTCAGGGGTTTGACATCTTACTGATGTTCCATGACCGAATATGTTCCATACACAGTATACTTGAAATGTTTTGGGTCATGGGTGTGCAACCAGACTCACAGTCAAATGTACGTCAGGGGAACTCACCTTAAAAGGTGTTCATTGGTTAAATGCTGTGAGGGGTAAGGAGGAGGTTCCATTTTCTCTCTTCTCTCACCAGCAGAAAGGGTGGGGGCTGCCTCTTCACATCGAACCACAGTTCCCGTCCATTGTTACAAATCTGAAAGTTGCCCAACATTTACTGTTATGTGCTGGGACATTCTTCCTCTGGCGATTACAGAGGGAAAGTATAAGAAAATCCCATTTGAGAAACATATATGCCCCTGCTGTAAAGAAGGCATTGAAAATTTAGAACATATCATTTTCGACTGTAAGGCCTATAATCATCTCCGTAAATCACTTCCGCTCCCCAAGTCCTTACCTCTCACTAGTAGGCAAAGAGTTTGTATTATGAAAAATCTCCTTGCTGATAGGCATTCAGAGGTAACATAACCAGTGGCGAGATTTGGATGGCTGGCTTTAAGAATTAGAAAATCTATAATAACACAGCAAGTTGAATGTCGATCACTTTACTGTTAACTGTCTGTTTCTTAAGCATATTAGAATGCATTTTATTGCTGTTTTAAGCTTTGTTTACCTTTATTTACAGGGGTTCTTACTATCTATTAATTTTGTTGTGTTTTAAATGTTAATTGCTGACTTCGGCCATATATAAAGCTTTACTTACTAAGTTGCCCAAAGTTGTTGAGGGCAGTGGGGTCTATGGAGTTTCGCCACATCTTCATCCTATGGCTAGAAGAATGGGTTAGCTACCTTAGATACGTTTCCAGGGAGAGGTGGGTAGAAATATTTTAAATAAATTAAATGTAAGCCCTCACAGAACAAAGTCTGAATCCAGTGGCACCTTTAAGACCAACAAAGTGTAATTGTGGCCGGGTACAAGCTTTCATGTGCAGGCACACTTCTGCACATGAAAGCATATACCCCCAATTAAACTTTGTTGGTCTTAAAGGTGCCACTGGACTCAAACTTTGTTCTGTTGCTTTAGACAGACACGGCTACTCACCCGAATAAGTCCTCACAAGAAGACATAGTCTCTCAGCTACTATCAGAACCACGCTTTATAACCCAGGTTTTGTGTGTCTCACAATACTGTGCAGGTCTGATGTAAATACAGCATTTCATATTAGGGCTGCCAAGTGGGGGCGGGTAAACCCCCGCTTTGGAGGCCCGATTTCCGCCGCCGCGGAATCGGGCCCCGGGGGGAACCCCACCCCGGTGTGCGCGTCACCAGGAAGTGACGTGGGCACGCCGGGCACGCTGGGGGCGGGGCCACGGCCATACAAGGGAAAACTCTATGGTTTTCCCTTGTATGGCCGTGA